CTTCTTCCTTTTCCCCCCTCCAGTATCTGTTTGATAATGGTCGTGTGGACGACGTTTTCTCAGATCAGTACTACACTCGCTTTGCTCAGAGTCTGCACCAGATCCTGGAGCCTTGGAGACCACCTGTTCATCCACTAGGTGAGAACAAAAGTTGTTTATGAAACCTGGTGTGCCTGTTCCTATGTTCCAACGCCTTCTTCTCTACAATAAACGTAGTGTTTTAGCAACTTATTTTAGATACAGTGCACAGGAGGAAATGTACAAACTGTCAGTGTTAGCAGGGCTCCAGAATAACTTTTTTATTGGTAGCACCGGTGTGACCAACTTTCTCATTTGGTCACACCTCCCACCTTGTCACAGGAAAAACATATGACTTGCTGAACATTTTCTTGTCAATAGACACTGTAATTTACAGATGTTCCTTAAAAGCCCAATATTGCAGGCTGTGGTAGATGCTGCTTGGTGGCTGTGGTGTACTCAGACAGGTGTGCGACCTAAAATGACTTTTAAAATGATAAACTAGGGCGTTCTACTGTCAGATTTGTCTGAGGTGAAACCAAGTGATTTTTTTTCTACATGCAGTCTCTTCTATGAGCGGAAAAAACAGTGAATGCATGTGTACAGTCTGTCCAGTCTTAGTTTTTTTTGGCACAAAACATTGGACTGGGTTTGGACAGCTTCTCAGAATAAAATGCAAACATTTGCACAAAGCTTTGACCAATGATACTTAAGAGATGTAGCACATGTAAAAAATATAAATGTAAAATGTCCATGATGGTTAATTTAAAGGACCAATTGCTTATTTTTTTGGCAGCTCACCTGTCATAGTCGCTAGTGTTGATTAACACTTCAGATCCATTGATAATTAATATTTCCTTGTTGATGTTGTGTTTGTTGCTCAGGGATCTGTTTCACAAAGCAGGTTTACCTCGTGAGGTTTCAGGGTTAACCGACTCCGTTTTCACCAAAACTGCTTTGTGAAACGGACCCCATTATTATCAACTATCTATTTCAGCTGTTCTGAAAATTCTTGTAACGCTCTGTTTGAGGTGGTTATGGTAGCATGTAGCACAATGTTATTGTAGGTTACTCTGATCTTCATAATTTTCTCTTTACCTCCCCTACAGGTTATGTTATCCCCAGCCATGTGACAGAGGAAATGCTGTGGGAATGCAAACAGCTGGGAGCTCATTCTCCTTCAACACTGCTTACCACTCTAATGTTCTTCAACACCAAGTGAGTTCCCAGTTGTAATGCTTACTGAATTCATTTGATGTGGCAGACTCGTATATTTCGTCTTCATTGTTTAATTGACATGAAACAATATTGCCCATGATACACCCCTGTAAATACAAAAAAATCTTCATCTGGAACACAAATAATTTACAGATCTGCAAAATACATTTCTATGCAAGATGCTGTTTTTCTGTATTTCCGCTCTTCCTTCATTGATGCCAACCATTACACTGATCAACGTGTATACATCTTGTTATAGGTATTTCCACCTGAAAACAGTGGATCAGCATCTAAAAGTGGCCTTTTCTAAGGTGCTGAGACACACCAGGAAGAGTCCCAACAACCCCAAAGATAAGAGCACCAGCATCCGATACCTAAAGTCAACAGAGAGGTTCATAGGGCAGAAAGGTATGTGCTTCTACGGATATCATGTGTACTGTAATGTCTGATTGGAAACCCCATTTCAAGGATAAAACTGACTATAGCTTTGTATACTTTTTTGGTTTAGTGACGGATGACATGTACTCAGAGCAGCTGGAAGACCCAGAGAACCCACTGCGATGCCCCATCAAACTTTATGATTTCTACCTCTTCAAATGGTAAATATAAAACAGCATGAATGGTGAAAATGGTTATCATTGAAAGATAAATTAAGAAGCTGAAGGGTGAAATGTGTTTATATGGAGGAAACATTTTTATATACACTTTAAACTATGACTGAATTATAATTCCCACATTGAAATGCACAAAAACAGTAAATGGTAAAAACACCAGTGTATACAACCATGAGGAGCTTTGTACTCTGGCCAAGGTTGGAGTTATCAATTCATAACAAAAGTTGGAGGTTCCCTTTAGAAATGCTGCTAATAAAACTCTTCGTTTGTGTTGTTGACATGGGAAGTGGAGTGCACGTTGCACTCTGTGTTGAAGTGCTTAAATGTGTGAGAACACTGTTGCTAGGCAACTGAGAAAAAATATGGATGCTTGATAACCCTTCCTTTGCTCTCATCTCCAAAAAGGTGAAACATTTTATGTTTTATGCCTTCCGACATTATCAAGGATTAAAGCTACCAACTTCTTTGGCCTTCGATGTCTTTAATAAATGCCAGCGTTGCTTCACAGTCTAAAAATGGAGAAAAATACCGACTGGAAAATGGGAAACATCACAGAGTCGATTGTTTATATAAAGTTTGAGTGAACGCCTCCACAGCTGAATCATTTTAATAGTCTTTCATTAGTTTTGGCCACTAGTCCTTACATTTTAGGGAACAACCTAAATGTTGAGACTTGGAAGACACTCCAGTTCCGTTTTGTTCGGTGCACTTAGCTAAGACTAATGCAGTCTAATGCAAGGCTTACACTAAATCCTGCCTTTATGAATGCAATGATGTTTACTTCTTATTGAAGGGATTCAGAGAGGCGTTGATCCAACTTTATGATCAGTTTGGTTCTGTATTGCCTTATCCTGAGAGGTGTTATTTAGCCTATACTGATGGATAATAGCTTTACAAGTTGCAGCCTCCAAAGTGACCGACAGTTCACTTAAAACTGTCAAATAGTGAACTTTAATAACAGAATTGTTATATTAGACTGCATTAGTTTTAGCTACAGACAGTAGACAAATTAAAGGGAAGAAACAACATTAAAAACAATAAAAAAAAGGCAATAAATTAGGAGGGTTTTTGGTCTCCACATGCTGCCATAACAGGCATCAATTCTCCACCAATCTTCCAAACATTATTCCTTCATTCGGTGTTTTAATGATGGTATTGTAGAGAACCAGGTTGGTCCAAAATCTCACATAGGTGCTCAGTTGGGTTGAGGTCTGGTACCTGCAAAGGCTGTGGCATATCATTCACATCATTTTCATCTTCATCAACCATTCAGTGACCACTTGCGCAGTGAATGGCTGGAGGCATTGTTATCCTGGAAGAGACCTCTGTCACAGGATTGAAATGTTTGATCATAGGATAAAGGTGATCACACAGAACAACTTTGTATTGAATTCTGGACAAGTGGACTCAAACTGTACCTGAAAAATGCCACTTACAGCATAACAGCCACTGGATCCTCCCACTGTCGCAGTCAGGTTTTTGTTTTTATTTTTGTTACTTGTCTTCAGTGTATCTAATAAATGATTGATGAGTTCAAAAGAGTAATGGCCAACTGTACACTACTTTCCTATAAAGATGATCTAAAAACACAACAAACACAGTCTGATATGAAAGCCAGCCTTCCCTCTACACCTTTCCCTCAGTTCCTCACAAAAATAATTTTTTCTTGCCAGCAGGCTAAAACTTTAACTCTGACATCTAATCAATAAGTGTTTTCAGAAAATATTCTCACTCTCTGTTTCTCTCAGTCCACAGAGTGCTAAAGGTCGTAATGACACTTTCTACCTGACTCCTGAACCTGTCGTGGCTCCAAACAGCCCCATCTGGTACTCAACTCAGCCAATCCCAAAAGAACAGCTGGAGCAGATGCTCGCCCGAATCCTCGTCATTCGCGAAATCCAAGAAGCCATTAACATGTCTGAGAGCGTGCACTAGTTGGACTGGAGGAGAATGAAATATGGACTAGACTCTTCCTCTTTTTCTTCACCCAGCCTTTGATTGCTCATTACGAGTAGTTTTCTATTCTCTCACACCCTCTTGTGGTCTTTAAGGGTGGCATGTATATGTTTATATTCATTATATGTCAGCATATCTTACACACGTGGACTGTACATACACATACAACCAGCTACAGCTAATCAGTTGTCTCATTGAGGCAAACACACAAGTTTTTTTTGTTGTTGTTGTTTTATTTTGGCCAAAGGATGTAGTGTCTAATCTTTTTGTTGGACCTGAACTCTAATTTAAATGTTATTGTAACTGTTGGTTCTCCTTACCAATAGTCTGGAACAATTGTTAATTTTCGTTCCTGTTCTGTTTCAATCTGTAAAATATTTCATATATATTTTCACTGGGGTTGGCCTGCGCGATGCTGCTTTTCTTAGACATCCCTCTTTGTTGCTCTTCTTTCCTTCATCTGCCTTGGTCACTGTTATGTCTCACAGTGAGTACCTCAGTGGTATTAAAACTACATGAAGCAGCCCGATATAGGCTAAAAGCTCATTTTCAACTCGTGTGAATTCTCTTTCTTTGTATTTCACTCTTGTCCGTCATGAGCTGAGTTCTCATGCGGACGCACTGAATTCTGGAGGCGACGTTGTTGTTAAGTGATGGCTGCTTGGGCTGTAGCACCCCCTCTTGGACTAGCTCAGCGGCGTCGAATCACATTGGGACTTAAATCTGCTGCGGACTTGATTGCAATACGGTGTCACCGCTCAACCCGCAGCTACTAGCACTTGCCGCACATTGGAGATGCAGCAGAGCTCGGGCGGAGGACGCTCTGCTGCTGGATCCTCCCTTCTCTCCTCAGTACATCACCAACCCCAAAAACTCACCTGAAGAGGAATCCAGTGTATCATACATGTCTAGTACAAGACAAATGAAAGACTCTAAAAAGTGGGTTAGCCCTTAATGTTCTATAATGTATAAAACTCATAGCTCCTTCATGTACTGTAACAGTTGTCAGTCATTTAAGGAGAATGGCAGTGCCTGTGTGTTTTTGAAACATGACCTTTTTTGTACAGCCACTATACCATGTGTCTGCCTTTCTAGCAAGTCCCGTATCAATTCTGCACATGCATCCTTAAGTACTGATAGCATTGTGTGATATAAAATGATGCACAATGATTTTTTAAAAAATCTTAATAAAAGTCATGTCACAACAGCACTTTATCAGTAGTGAAGGTGAACAAACTTACAAAAAAAAACTATGTACTGTCCAGCTACACACAGGAAACATTTTATATTTAACATGAAAGATTGCATGATTGACCTGAAGGTTGCGTAGGCTGTATTTTACTGCTTGTACAGGTAGCGGCCTCTCGTTTGTCCCTCGTAGTAAGCCACCGATTGCAGAAGAGCAGGTTTGACCTGATTCGGCAGTTTATTTCCTTAATTTCTCCTTGTGGTAGCGATACAAACTGCTGCGTCTGTTGTTTCCTCACCTGCATTTATCTGCATGTTGTCAAGCCGGTTTTCCAGCTGCCGGGCCTGTCCTCATGCAGCGTGTGCAGCAGTATTTCTGCAGTCTTGTGTTTGAGAACTGTGTCATGCAAATGTTTTTTTTCTTTACTCAGTGTCTCCGCATATGTACATCTTGCAGAATGCTAGATTAGGATCCTGGATTCAGTGATGATGATGATGAGGGCAGTAACCTCCTCAGCAGGTTCCCAGGGTTTAACATCTGCTGCATTGTATTCTGTGGTGGGTCTGATTGAGGTTTACTCTGTCGATGGCGGTGATGTCTCCTCCCTGCTCGGTCTCCCCGTCCTGAGGAGATGTGAGATCGGTCCTGCATGTGGGGGTGAGCGTTCGAAGTGGCTCCCTGCGGGCTGCTGTGAAAGAGAAGACACCTAATTAAAATGTCGTTACAGTGACTAATAATACTGCCTGAGCCCGAAAAATCACTTTGGTGTGCTCATGGGAAGCTTATTTCTGTATTCTCACCATGCTGAGGTTCCTCCACTGAGCCAGTGCAGCAGACACAGGTGAACAAATATGTACTGCTCCTTAGTACACACAAAGGAATGAGCCATTAATGAAGATGCTCCAGCTTATGCTTGGCATTCTGCTGTAGCATGCACTGTTTACGAGCATGGAGATGACAGATTTGCTGCAGGTAAAAGGATGCATTTTAATCCTCATATACTACAGTCTAAAGTGCCTGGTGAGTGTAACCGGACCACTATGTATGTTTTATGCTTTAAATAAGCAAAGAACTAAGACACGAAACAGTAGTGGAAAATACAGTTATGATTTAAAAGTAGTATATTTGTACCTATATTTTATTACATTAAAAAAAGACAGTGCCACATGTTTAACATCGACTGCTCCACATTTACTGGGCAAGAAAGCCAGTAAGTCTGTTTCCTACACTGTTGAACTAGTCCTTTAAATACAGAGCAACAGTATTAGGATGATTTTAACAATCTGAAACATTAACATGCTGCCTACATGTTAATGTGTAAGAATGTAATATATTTATATGAGCACTGAGAGGACAGAGCTGCTTAATGAGCACTTCTGATAGTAAGATGATTTTTCTAATATTGTTTTTACTCGTGCAAAATCTTGAATAGAAGAGTTACTTGTAATTAAGTATGTTTACATCGTGGTAACAGTACTGTGATGTCTGTCTTGTACCTAAACAGTGAAGTGTAGTCATTTTATACAACCACGAGATCAGATTTCTCACAAGATTTATGGCCTTGTGTTTTAGTTAAGTGTTTCCTTTGTGATTTAATTCATACTTCCACTCCATTAAATTCCAGAATGTGTTGTTTTGTTTAGCAACCATGAAGCAGTTAATGTACAATATTAGTGCAACATGTGACACTATAAATATAACACTTTAAATAGTGCTGTTATGTATGAAGACATTTTACTTTGATATGTAAAGTAGGCCTACATTTTAGAATGCAAGACGAGATGAACTACTTTTCAAAAGCTCCTTTTACTTAAATAAAATAACTTTAAACTACTTCCACCACAACAGGTTAGTGTCCGTATGAACTGACCAGAGTCTGAACCATCCACATTCGATGGAGACGCAGGTCCTCCACAGCAGCTCGTATATTAGGCCGGATTCCCCTCGCACACAGCTGCATCAGCCACAACAACGTCACAAATGCCCCAGACCGGCCAATACCTGCACTGGATCACAAAAGCCAAGTGTTGACTTTAAGCATTGTCCCAAATGCCGAATGACTAATAAACTTACTGAAAAAAATGCAGAAATAATGCAGACGGAGAGACTTTGTTGACATAGCAGGAGGGCGACAGGCTTAAAGTCAGAGGTCACACCTGCAGTGCACCACAGCTGGGCCCAGACGAGGAATGGCTTCCAGATGCTGCCGCACATGCTCAGTGAAGACACAGGCGGAGGATGAGCTCTGAGGGATGCCCCGGTCCGGCCAGGAGGGATAGTAGTAGTGTGTGATGATCCTGTCTGTCGGACAGTCTCTCTGAAACACGAACACTTTGCTTTAATCCGACCACAAGGACTCTTTGATTGATTACAGGTACGGTCAGTGCACACAGAAGTCAACAGCAGCGGTTTTCAGGCACAGAAGACTGATGAATGTGTCTTTCACTCACCTGTCGGAGGTTAATGGTCGTGACAAAATAATCTGGACCTTGTTTGCGAGCCACTGTTGTCACTTGGATCAGCCCATGATAAACTGTCCCCGGTTCCAGAGGCCAGTACTTATCACACAGCACCTGCACACACAGAATTAACAGACAAGGTCAGAGGGATATGAGGTACAGTGCAACGTGTATGAATCATTTAGGATTACCAGGTTTTCTTGGTAAACTGGTCCTAAAAAGTGATCTGATCTGAAGTAACAAGTACAAAAAAAACCACAATACGCTCAAGATACACACAAAAATGACTATATTCTTGTTTGTCTCAGTGCTAGTGACACAAATACCAATTCTATGCATATCTATAATTTTGCAAGGGAGGATTCACTTTATTTCACTGATGTGCTTCTTGTGAATAGCAAACTCAAAAACTGTTTAAACGATGAATTTGATAAGGACAAGAACAATATTGTGGTTTGTTTGTGACTGAGAATAGATTAAATTAGATAAAGATCTGACCCTATTTTGGGACAATATACATAAACTCCCAAAAGTTCACTTGCTTTTTCTTGTATATAATTAAATGTTGGGAAATATTCACTCCCCCCCAACAGAAACATGACCTCAATTAAATCAGCCATATGACCTCAAGTAAAAATCCAATTTTTTTTCCAGTATACATAAAAAGTTGTGTTTTTATTGTCTTGTCTTGGGCAGTAGCCACTCCTTTCCTGGCTGTCTGCCATCCTCATGTCAACAACAAGCTCTGGTACCTTCCAATACCATAACTTGTCAATCATTGCGGTCATTGTGAGCTTTCGACGTGCACACAGATTTTGTTTGGACAAGGACAGACAGCAAGAAAACACATACAGTAAGTGCTTTCTGATCTGACATGATGATGGACAGGAGAACATCATCTTTCAGTGGTTGTGGACGTTCTTGCTCAATAATAACCTGAATTCCTTCTTTGCCCCTGATGGACAAGTGCTATATGGTCATTGAAGGATTCCTTTACTTAAACATGTTGTTGCTTTGCTTTTTTCTTCAGAAGACTATCAAACCCGACTAGTTGTTTCCCCCTATTTCCAGTTTTTGTGCCAAACTGAGCTCACCAGGGATGGATACTGATTCATAACTATAAAGAAAGCAGACAAGAGAAGTGACATTTGCATGTGAAGGCCACACATTTCCACACATACACACAGACTCGGTGTGCGTCTTACTATGTCCTTGTGTCTCAGAGCTGTCACCATGACAATTATCCTGACGTTTTGCTCCCACACCATCCGCCAGAAGTCGGCCATGGTGCCGGGCAAAGGACCCTGAGTGCAGATGAAGTCTCTTTCTGATCCTCCACCCTGAATGCAGACACACAGTCAAAAACAGACGCAGTGACAGACCAACAGGCCGTAAAACAGAACGAGGGATACAGATGTCAGACAAAATGAATTCATTTGAAGAAATGAATGAGATCTTACAGGCACAAAACTTGCGTTGATGTAGTCTGTGTGTGGATAGGAGTTCTGAATGGACAGCCTCACCCGAGAGTGATCATCTAGAACCGCATGTGCAAAGCAGACAAATAAAAATTCCATACGTTGCAACGCATACTTGCTGCAATCACTTCTGGTTTGACAAGTTTTGTACTTACATGGTAAAATGTAAGGGTATCTGTTCTTCTCTCTGTTGACCTCTGACTCCCCTGCCCTTGTCGGGAGGTCTTTGCCAACATCGCTCAGCTCCTGCACAGAGCAACAGGTATTAACACACGTGGCCAACACTTTACAAGTCATAAAGCTGATCCAAATGCAATGTACGTGCATACTAGCTACCTCAAACTCCTGTTTAAAGCCTCTGTTGGCATTGGCAGCCAAGGACTGGCACCGCAAGTTAAACTCTTGAAGAATTTGTGCTCTTGACACAGTTTGCACCCTGCAAGACGTGATTGTGTTACGTTAAACCTTGAAAGACCAACAATGCGCTCAGAAAAATTGTTATACGTTTGGGGATATCCTGTCATTTTATTATTATTAACAAATATAATGGTGAAAACCAAGTGTTTACCGTGTGAACTATGTTGTCCAAAAAAAACACAAAACTAACAGATGACATGTTCCTTCATTACAATTAACACGGAAACTATAGTTTTCTTTGAGTCAAATGCACATTACACACTGTGTATTCACAAGCAGGCCAGATTTATCACGAAAAAACCTCCCTAATAAAGGCACTTTGCACATTAGACACATTACAATTCACAATATTATAACAATATAATTTAAAAAACATGTATGAATCTTTGACACCACATTTACGTCTTCAGTAAGGAACTAAGAGCTTACAGTCAGTAAAGGGTCACACTTGTATTTATTTATTGTCTTTTAACGGTGACAAAAAAATTTAAATATCACCAGCTATACACTGTTTGCTCAGGATGATACAAATTGCAAATGATTTTTGTCCTTCTTACCTCATGTCTTCTCTTACAAGCAATGTTCAAAAAGAAACAAATAGCAGCCGGGAGTGTTGAATGATGCCAAGATGATTTCAGTGCTGATCATGTGAAAAATCCTGTATAAAAATTTAAAACAAAAACAAAAAAAGCCGTAAAGCAAATTGAAACTGAAAAGCTACAAACATTATGTTTACCTCTTGTTTTCCCCTCCCCCTCCCTAATAACTAAAAAGGAATTTTACCTTCTCAATACAGACATGTATCACCAGATAATAGTTTAACTGAATCAGAAATGATTCATTTCAAGCAAACTACACCTCTCTTCCCACGGCCTCATTATAATGCAGCTTACGTGGCGAGCACAGCCCAGTATTCACGCAGAACAATTACTGACCTGACAAGAAGGAAAACCTGCTCCAACAAGTTGTCAAACCCAAACACCAGCAACAGGACTAAAGAGCAGTTTCAGCGTTGTGTGTTTGTGTCAGTATTACCTCAGTACACAGGCTGTGAATGATTGTTTTAAGTCTGCCACAGGCTGAAGAGAAAGAGAAGACGGCCACACTGCTCCGAGTCATCTTAAAGTTATTTGGTTTTGGTAATGCTCTCTCTGTCTAGTTGTCTCTCTCCGGGCAGGAACAAATGTGATGGGTGGAGACGATGGGTGGAGAGAGCAACACTAAGCTTCAGGGGAGGGATGTCAGCGTATGATGGCCTCAGCTATTCTTTGCACTCACCGTGTCATTCCTTGCATGAGAAAAACAAAATGTCTTCACTTGTAGGGAAGTGCACCTTGTCAGTACAGGATTTTTTTTTTCCTGCTGTGGTATTCAGGTTACAACAGATAACTCGTAAGCACTTGTTTGTTATTGTAAATGATTACTATAAACAGACACTGACTACATATAATGTCTATATATATAACAATAAAAGAAAAAGCAGTATTGGCACCATTTTTTCACAACATATAAATTAAGTCTATAGAGCAGTGCACTCCATGAGTTGCTAAAAAAAAGTCTGGTAAAACTGCTCACACTACTATGGAGGGTCAACGTGGATAAAAAATCAGCTAATTTCTGGTTAAATAATTGTTTACCAAGTCTTGTAGTGACTTTTGTGTGCACTTGCTGCTGCGCATTGTTGGTCAGATGTCACCTCTCATACTATTACAATATTACACCATGCAGGTTTGAGAGTGTGTTACATTGTTTGTGACTGATTAAACTACTTTATTTTGGAATGTGCACCATGTTCTCATGACATAGAATAAAGTTGGGCCTGCCAAGCACTGCACTCCACTAATTACTAAAAATAAGTCAGGTAAAACTGCACTATGGAAGGTCAATCTGTGTAAATATTACTTGATTTCTGGTTACTACACACACACACACACACACACACACACACACACACACACACACACACACACACACATATATAAAACACAAGAGAAATGAGTACATTTCTGTGCATTTTCTGTTGAATGATTCAACAGTATACAACAACACAGTAACCATTATTTATTCAGTAAGCATCATTTCTAGGCTGAGCAGTGAAGTATTTGCGCTTATGTAACAATAAAAACCAACAGTATACATTTAAATCACCGTCCCACAGGAGGAGCTAAATATAATTGAGTTTCAAGTCTTTCATTTTTTCATTACTTCATATGCTCACCTTTATTTTTGAAGGCAGTCCTCAGTATGGAGGATGCCAGTGTTGCACAAGTTTCTTGACAAATGTTCTGCCATTCCTCGCAAACTTTTTTTATTCAGCTGCTCTTTGCTGGAGTCTTTGTGTTACTCTACCTTTGTCTTTCAAATACACCAGCGGTGTTTATTAGATTCAAGTCGGACCACATACTTGGCCAAGTCATAGCTGTGACTTTATCTTCTTTTCTTGATTTTGGCAGTGTGCCTCGAATTGTTGTCATGCTGGAATAGTTGTCTTCTACTGGCATTATTGTTGGTAACGTTATATTCACAGGCCTTCAAGCCATCTGTAGATGTCATCTCTTAAACACCTTTTGTACTCATATCATCACACTCCCACCTTTAGGGTCTCAGTGTCAGGACTGTGCATTCACTGGGGCAGTCCTGACCTGGTTCATGCTCACTATGCAGGTCCCCATCTGAATCAAACTAATTTATCTTTATCAACATCCGACCACATCACGTTTTTTTTTTTTTTTTTTTTACAGCATTCATCAGGCTTCTTCTCATGTTATTTAGCAAAGTCCTAAATTGCAGACCCAGAACTATCTACAAAGGACCCCCTCAGCACCCCCGCCCCTCCCTAAAAAAAAAAAAAAGCATAGTATTTTGCTATCACAAATCATTTAGCTTCTGTTTGTACCTGTTTTAATTGATTTGTCTTCTGCATCTGGATCTCTGTATCTTTAATTAACTGTGCAATTTTAAAATATATATAGATTTTTTTTTACAGTGCATCTTCTATTTGTATCATTTTAAATCCATGTGCCAACGAACCAAATTCATTCATGTCAGATTTTGTGTGTTGAACGAGAACCAAAGTTTTGTGACTATGTTCTAATGTTATATGTAAGAGGTTATGTTCTTAAGTTAAAACATTTCAAGACTGTAACAGTGTTTTTGGTGTCCTGGGTACAGTATATATATATATATAAACTTAATTTAACTGGGGAAAAAAGCCATTTTTAATTTGTACTTCTAAGACTTATGAGCACAGATGTCCTGGTGCAACATTTCTTATTCAGCAAGTCAGATATGATTCATAACCATAAAAGAGCCACAGATTAACTCTGAAGGCCACCATATGTCCAGTCAGTTATATTCCACCCATAAAAATAAGCAGATAATTCTGTCATGTGCCCTCTGTCTGAAAGCCCAGCAGCGTCTACGCTTCCAGAGAGAACAACTTGGACACTAAACTGCTGCTGACTTTCTACCAGTTGTCCATTGAGAGCCTGCTGACATACTGTATTACATTATGGTATGGAAGAGGAGGCTTGAGAGGGTAATCAAAGCAGCACAGAAGATTGTTGGTTGCCCTCTCCCCTCACTGATTGACATTTACATCTCCTGCTGCCTCAGTGGGGCAGTAATCATCCTCAAGAACAGCTCACATCCTGGGTCCCATATATTTGACCTGTTGCCCTCAGGCAGGTGCTACAGGTGCATCAAGAATCAACAGGCAAGGCAGGTTTATTTTTTTATAGCACAATTCATACCTGAGGTCATTCAAAGTGCTTCACACAAAACTATAAGAAGACAGATAAAATCAAGACACAAAACATAAACACAATTATTAACTAATTACATTAAAAGCAAAGAGGCAAATTAACTCAATCCATAAAACATAAATATCATCATTAATTAAAAGAGTACAGATAAAATACTTCCAGCTGTCATATGCACAACTAAACGGAACTGTTTTCAGCCTGGATTTGAACATTGTCAAAGTTGAGGCCTGTCTCACATCGTCTGAAATCCAGTTCCAGATTTTAGCTGCCTCACCTTGTTTGGTCCTGTCTCTGGGCACCAGCAGGAGGAGACCCCTCCCTGAGGTTCTCAGAGCCTGAGATGGTTCATATGGCACTAACATGTCAGAGATGTACTTTGGTACAGGACCATGAAGAGCCTTGTACACAAGCAAAGCGGTTTTAAAGGCAATTCTCTGAGCGACAGGAAGGCAGTGCAGAGACTTGAGCACTGCACTAATATGGTCGTACTTCCTGGTTCTAGTCAGGACTCGAGCGGCAGCGTTCTGGATGAACTGCAGGCTAACAGAGTACAGACAGACTTAAAAACATCCCCCCCCAAGAGCCATAACCACTCTGAACTCCCACAAACACTGATAAGTTCCATTCCCACCACCATTCCTGTGAATCTACTAACAAGTATTCATTCAGTTTAAAATATGTCATATGTACTCAGCTTTATTCATTGCATTGGATGGGATTGCACCAGATTTTTTTTTTTTTGTGGTATAATGACATGAAAAGATTTTGATTCTCTGTGTTTGAAAATCTACATATTCTTAGATCAAACACTGATTCTGCTTCCTGACTGTAAAACAGGTACAGCCAGGTATGACCAGGTGTGATCGTGACAACACATGAGACTTACTGCGCCTGCGTGTTTTCAGAAGAAACGCCTGATTCCTTACTCCTTTTTTTTTTTTTTTTTTGATAAGCCTTTATAACCAAAGTCTGAACCTGATTGGATGGTTTCAGAAAAAGGAAGTAAAAAAAACAAAACATGTTGCAATAAGATCATGCGCAATAAACCAGAGAAAAGGCAGGTTGTAATGTTGTTTTTTTGTGTTGTTGTTGTCGACACTGTGAGACAGCTAAACTTTTAAAACAACGCGTGTGTCACACTTCAGCCCGTGAGAGAAGAAGCATCGTGCGGGTGGCAGAAATGTGAAGGTTTCACTTTTAACCGATTGACGCTGGGAAATTAATGCAAGAGGTCACGGGCGCTTCCTGGTCTTTTGGACTCCAGAGAAATTTAAAGTGTCGCTCAGAAACTTCAGTCAGCGCTGCAAACCGGCAGAAATGGATCACGTACGACCGCAAGACCCACAGGAAAGCAAGGTAAAAAGAGACAGAAAACAAACATTTCCTGAAGAAAAGTGTAGACAAACTCCATAAAAACTGGCTGATCCGAAGCGCGTCCTGTGCGCACCACGTTGGAAGTGTGGTTAACCGAACACATCAGCCTTTTTTTATTTTCTCTTTTCACACAGCGAAACTGAATTATGAACACAAAGCAAGGGAAGGGCACCAACAAAAACTGCAGCGATCTCGTGAAAACTAGGCAGAAGGGAAAGTCAAAGTCCAGTTTTAAGCACATGAGGGCACTAAAGAGTACCACACGCTCACCTTGTACAAAATGATCTGGTGGTGACTCTGCAAACTCAGCTTCAAGCACCCTCAGTTATAATCAGTTCAGACTTTCTGCTTCAGAAAGTGTGTGTTTGACTGTTTGTACTGTGTTTGTGTAGTAATTGGGTCAGTGTGTCAAGTCAGACAGAATTCAGCAGACATGTTGCTGCATTTGTATTCAAAAGCCAAGTTCTGTGTGACATTTTAGCAGAATTTGTACAATTTTATATTTATTGCATTTTAGAAATTGCATATTTTGGCTAAAGAAAACAACTTTGCTGAGATCCCATGTTTAGGGTTTAATATCCCCCCGAGCCATGAAATATGCTGAGGACGCTTTAGGTCCATGTGTTGAGGCAAAACAAGCCTCAGATGTTTGGTGACAGGACAGCTCCTCCAAGCGAAAAGAAACAAAACAAGAGAAACCCTTTTCGTATCAGGTCAAGAGTCACGGCAATCTAACGCAGTCCACGTATGGCTTCACTGAGTTCAAACACAGCTGGTTAAATATGCACTGTCCTCACGTACACAGGAAATACATATTATTACCAGCACACATGGCTATTGTCTGATTATTTACTGCATTTGTATGACATGCAAAGCATTAGTTTGCTAGTAAGCAAAAGCATCAGAGTCAAATGATGGTACCATATGTGTATGAACTGCTTTGCTTTGAATAGTAGGAATTTGTTTTTAATTAAGTCTTTCAGTGACGACTTGCGACTTTGTTTTTGTGGTCCTACGCACGATTCCTTATTACCTTTCTTGCATTTCAAATAGAAAATAACAGAACCTTGGCCACCCACCAGATTCTATTGACGTTTAAGGCCTCAAAAGTTGATGAAATGTCGATCAAAGACTGTATTTGTTGTAGGAAATATGAATACATCCGTACGTATATTCGCTTACAGGGACTTTCAGTGGCCCCCGGTATCACCCTTGTTTAAAAGCTTTGCACATTTTCCCTGTAATTAAGGGTTTGACTTCTCAGGTAAGATGTTTTGTAAGGTTCAGATGTTTTAGTGAAATTGCATGAAAAGGCATGAAAACATGTGAAACTTCAGCCAAAATATTTTGCAGAAGTTATGTTGGATCCCAGCTAACAAATAAGTCAACAAAATCTGAGAAGGTGGAGCAACAGCTGTGTCTGAAATGACACGGACAGACCAAATACATCACTGTCCAAATCCACATCCGAGTTCCTGGGTTGCTTATTGTTTGTCTAACACTATATTCAAAGCTCCTAGTACACATTTAACATTTTGGCAATAAAACGTCTTTCTTAAAATATCTGCTTCAGTATTGTTTCAGTGTTTTTTGAGCTGCAATTCACAATTATTATCATTATTGATTTTTTTGTTTTGTTTTAAAAGGTGTTTGTTCAGTTTGTGAAATGTTACTTCCCAGATGCTGATATCTTCATATTGCTTGTTTTGTGGAAGCAAAAGACCAAAAGTAAAACATATTTTATTGTAGTATCATAAAAGACAGAGAAATATGGTTAAAAAAAAATGACACACTGATTGTTAAAATAGCTGCCATGACCAAATGCTTCAGCTTTAATAATATCACACACCGCTTTTCTGTATAATCCTAATAACTGTGATGTAAATGGTGCTTTTTCTTTTCAGGGCTCAGTGTCGCGGTACAGGGAACACGGGGATGAGCCTTCGGACAAGAGGTCTGCTGACAGAGCTTTGTCTCCCTCTCAGGTACATCCCATCTGACACGTCACGTCTTCGAATGACCTTTTTACACAGTACGACTGCTCTGCTGTCTTTGTAAAGCACCTGAGTGTGATGAGTTGGTTTACCCCTGTCCATTCAGGATGAAAAGAGGCCAATCAGGAGGGTGCGAAGTCCGTCCAGACCAAGGGCATGGCTGTCCAGTTCTTACAAACCAAAGTTAGTAGGACGATTCTACAAGCCTCGGTAAGACTGATGGGTCGAGAGCGGGCAGCACTTTGTAATTAGTCGGGGAACTTTTTTCCACTGAGTTTCCTGCAAAGTATTGATGTGGATGCTGAGAGGGATTGTGGCTGCTCTGAAAGCTTTTTTTTGTTCTCGCTAATGCAGTTTTCCCAGGGACGACTATTCATTCTACAAACCTGGCTTTGGCAGCCACAGGCACCACCACTTCGGCCCCCGGGTTTATATGCACCGGAAAGATCACTTCCCGCCTAAGTTTCACCACATCACGTTGAAAAGGAGGGAGGACGAGCGAGAGGTGAAGAAGGAGCGGTACGAGCAGAGGGAGAGCGCTGAGGGAGGTTCACCCCCAAAACAAAGCAGCAGTGAGTTTATTTCTGTGGCACAAATCTGCAAAAAAAACCCCCAAAAAACAGTGATGACACACCTACACACACACACACACACACACACACACACACACATACACACACGCACGCACACACACACACAAACCCTTTGTACCAAGATCAGTCCAATACTTCAACCAAATGTTCACTTTATGGCCAAATGTACTTAGTGTGCACATTGATGAATGTTTTGGTGAAGACATGACTCCATGCACAAAGTGAGATTCACGAAGAAATGGCTTCTATAGATTGTGGAACAACTTGAACTCACAATTAATATGAAGGTGTCTAATATTAATGTGCAACCAGGAATTATGAGCTACAGAGAAGTCAGTGACTTGCAGCAATTATAAAAAATAATTTGGGACAGGTCAGGCTTTCACAATGCCAGTGCACTTTTATAAACTAAAGCCTGATATAATACTGTAAAGTCTGCCTCCTCAATCAAGGTTAAATCACACACACACACACACACACACACACACACACACACACACACACACACACACATACACACAGTTTTAATGGGTTTTAATGCATTCAATGTGATTACAGTGATTGTTATTAACCAAAACCAAATTAATTCATAATTGTCTCTAAACACTGTGCGACAACACAAAGTGACGTCGCTTGCACTCAGACTTCAACAATAATCTTCTGCTCACATTTGCACATCTTTTGCAATGCAGAAAAGTGACTAGCCTCTGCCCGCAGGATATTTGTAGACGCAGACAACAAAATTAAATTAGTATAATAAATTAGTGTATATTAAGTTTCATTAATTTTAAAATATTGCACGTTTATTGTTTCTCCACACCAAATGGATTGTGGACAAAACCAAGTGACAAAAGCAGCTTGAGTCATGCACTGAGACAGTATTAGCCACATAGATTGGAAAGAAGACACAAGCTATTCAATTTGGAGGCACATAGACTGTTTCGGTTCTATTATCTTTCAAACGGTTTAGATCAATTTTAAGCCAGCCGCACTGCTTATATTTACACAAATGCACTTGTGGCTGACTGGAGACAATTCTTGTGGCCTGGTGTAATTCTAGTGGAAGTGAAAACAGCTCAATATATCACCCCAAACCACAGAGGGCTATTTTCTTTGGCATATACAAATGAACAACCCTCTGACACAATCCCAATAAAAGCCAAACACTTTAAACTCTACTAACGGATAATCTTATTGTCTCCACCTCCTGCATGTGTCACCATACGCATGCATGCACGTACAGTATATTACATAATGTCCTCTGCAAGCTTTACATTATGCATTTGTGCTCTCTCAAACGACCATTGGGTGGCAGCATAAGCAAGCAGAGCTCCACATACGTCGTCATGAACACTTTGCATTACAAATATTTGGAGGGCATTTGCTCATCATGGTATCTGGTGGTTGGTAGGTAGTCACACTCTGGTAGCAACAAAGCAATGTTACATAATGGTGATCACTAAGAAGCTTTCCCTTGGCTCGATAGATGGATCATGTCATCAGTGAATTGCTAGTAGTCAAACAGTTACACAGTGTATATCTCATGCGAACTGTGTGATTTAGTTAGTTAGGGGTAGATTTAAAGAGAATTGCTTCATCATTTTGCCAGTGGGAAGAGTTTCTTAAGTAAACAGGAGAGATTTAAAATCTGTTTCCTTGGTTGTAACACTAATTGTGGAGTTTCCTTCTGTAAAGTGGTATGATATGCTGTGTTTTTTTAACAGCTGAGCTGCTGGTACTGTATGTTTTTATCTTCTCTTGCACACAGCCACTGTATCTGCGCACACACTGCAGCACTGTGGAGGTGTGTGTTTGTGTATGTGTGAGTATGGAACAGGTTTTTTTTTTTTCCCCGTGTGCCTGAGTGATGGTGCGATGATGGTGACTCATCGCTGATTTGTGTGTATATGAGAGTGAGAGAGAAAAAGAGAAGGAGAGACTAGCCAGAAGTATACATATAATGAGCCATAACGAAGGTTTTTGGTTCACAGAAAGTACTGCAGTCCTGTACTGAGAAGCGAATTTCTCAGATGTCAACAGATTTTTCCGAAACTTGTATGGATTTCAGATTTCAGGCGTGAGCATAGCATCAGTCTTGATAAATGACTTCAGATACCATACGTGCCTTCAGACGCTGTAAATAGAAAAGGAATACAGTACTAACAAGTGTTTTTGTTTGAGATCGAACACAAAAATTCTCTTGTTGTGTTGTTGTGTTGACCTTGTGATTTGTCTGTTTTCCAGCAACTAAACCTTTCTTAGCCAGGTCCACTTCCAGCAGAGACAAGGACATGACGTTCACTGTAAGTTCACAAGCAAAATCTCTGCTCTGCTTCTCACTTTATTATGAGATGTTCAAAAATGTAGTGGTCCACCACCCGGTCCTGAAAACTGACATATTATTGTACTGTTTTTTCTTGCAAAATGTCAGTCTGATACGGTGCAGCACACACTAAGCGCTGTTATTCAGATATGATTTATACCAGTTTTATGCTGATAGGGAAACTCTAAACCATGGTTTAGACAAATAAATTATAGGTCCAACAGTTCAGAATTAATTTGTCTTTCCAAAGAAAATGAGTCAGCTGCTCTTTTGACAGTCAATTCATGGTTTAGGTCATTTTTAAAGCAATAATGCCAGATAATTAATGACTCCATGTTCTGAAATGTTAGAATATTTTGGGTTTCTTGGTCTTACAATACACTCATTTAGATTTTATGGAGTTTTTGACATTTAAAAACTTAACTTGTGCTGTAGGATACTGTGATGGGCATTTTTTTTCTCAGTTTTGGGATGTTTTATAGACCAAAAAAATAATTAATCAAGGAAAAAATTGGAAGATCAGTTGATACTGAAAACATCCATTAGTTGCAGCCCTAATGTGAATGCTGTGATTGATTTCCTGTCATGTTCGTGGAAGGAAAAAAGGCTTCAACTAACAATTATTTTTATTATCACAAAATCCACTCAACAGTTTCTTGATTAATCTTTGTTTAGGAAATGTCAGAAAGCACAGACAAATGCCCATTTCCTAAATCCAAAAGTAAGATGTCCAAATTTCTTGTAGTTTACAAATTATTTTTCTGTTGATCAATCGATTGATTGAGCCACTAATTGTACTTACAATATGTTTGCATCCAAGGAGGTGGTGTTTTTGTTTGTACATCAGACACACAGTAAATGCAGGGGACTGTTTAATGCAAAGAGACCAGGTGCTGCTGAAAAGGCTGAAATCAAATGAATGCATAAATTTCTTGGCTGACCTCAGCACAGCACGGAGCAGAGCTGCACATGATGAATCGCAGCTGGTGACTGCTGCAGTGAAGTTAAAGTGAAGAGGACAAGAGAAATCAAAGAATCACTGGCTGCTTTTTTTTTTTTTTAAATTTCCATCAGTCAATATTCTAATCAGTGCTGTGTTAATAAATGTGACCGGAGCTGTTGATAGCAGGAGTTGCCTAAAGGCACACATCTGTGATAACAGCCAGTGCTTCCTGACACAAAACACACCGGGTTTATAATGAAAAGATGAAAAAAAAAGTATTTTTTTAAACTTGAAATTCAACTCTTTAAACCTAACCAATAATTTATAGAGTCAAAATGTGTTGTTCTACTTTTCAATATTCAAGATTCAAGAGGTTTATTGTCATATGTACCAAAAACCAGACCAAACCAAAACCCCAACAGGTATAAAAAACTAAACCAATTCTACACAAATAAGCAGACTTGAACTGACAGCAGCAGTGGCCGTAAAGTGCACTGTACATTTGTAAAACTGGTTTGGATAAAATCACTATGGCAGTGACAAAGTGACTACAGTAGTAATTGTAAAGTGCACACTGAATTGAGATAAACAGTTTGTGCAAAGAGGTCAGTAAAAATGTCCAGTTCAGTGTGATTTTGAAGATTGTGCAGCTAATGTAAAACTTAACCAGTAAATGTCATTTTGTCTTGGTGCCACTTTATAAAGTTGTACTTTATGTCTGTTTTGTTGACCTATACTAAGTAAGGACAGCTTCCGGGTTGCCCGTTTGTGAGATGCTCCTTTTGCTCTCCTAATTCTCTCTGTAATAAAACATTTTTTGTCTTTTTATGTAGCTTTTTAAATAATGGTGACAGTTAATTAAGTCAGAAACACCAGATGCATCTTCATTATTGACTAACAGTTAGAACTACAGATGAGAAGCTTACTGGAAGGTGAGCAAGTAAATGACTCATTAAATCTGGATTAAAATCTGGATTAACTGATTATTGTGGTCACTCGAGGCCAACAGAGACAAGTTACCAACACAACAGTGATGTTTCATCACCCCATGAAGCTGAACAATAAACAGTAACTTGTTTACACAGCAATTAGGATTAACACTCACAGTCTTGTTTCTGGTTCAGTTTTTGGTTTCACCTCCTACCTGCTTTATGCTCCGGTATGTTCACCAGCTAGTTGCTCACTCTTGCTATGTGCTGTTCCACTGTTGGTATTACTACCGTGCTGTGCTTCTCTTGTGTGGTGTATTTTGTGCTACTGAAAACATGCGCAGTCAGAGCAGTTGCAGAATCTCTCATTTATTTGCCTCAGTGTTACAAGTTGACATGTGAAGCTTTGCTTTAGTCATCTTCTGGTCATTAGCAGCTCAGTCATCATCAGGCGTTTGCAGCCATGTTTTTGGCCAACTGTCTGATTACTACAGTCCAACTCCTGTCTTTTTTTTCCCCCCTTCTTCTTTCTGTTTTGAAGGTTTGTCAGAGCGACAGGAACCAAAGCAGGGAGAGAGATCACAAGGGGACCAAAAGCAAAGACAGAGAACGAAGCAGAGACAGGGAGCTCCCTTCAACTGTGAGCCAGACGGCAGCACGAGACAGAGCCATCCAACAGAAGAGGAGAGAGATAGATGAGGTGGGGGAGTGTCATAACACACAAACACATCCAGGGAGAGGGGATAGTTATAGACAGATAGAGGAAGAGAAGAGATAAGAGAAGCTGGGATTAGAGAAAGGATGACACTGAGAAGATCTTAGAAAGCGCTCGGAGACATGAGACAAGGGAAAGAGATTTGTTTGCTGTAGTATAAACATTAATTTTGAAATGCTGAGCCTGAGGCAACAGGAGTGTCACTGGCTTCACTTTGCCAAGCCTGACAAAGAGGGTCTTTTTCGCCGTTTGACATGATTGATAGCGGTATTCTTCTGTTTTTATTTTCTCTAATTGATTGGAAACATAAAGCGAGACTGGCTCACCTGTATCACAAGAGACTCCGACACGTGCTTTAATGCTGCCTTCAATGTGACAGACATCACATGAGGCTCTGCTCGTCGACTGTGTGTTTGTGTGAGAGAGTGTGTGTGTGTCTCCACTCACTTTGCGGAAAACATGGCCTCTCGCTTTTCATATCTCCATGGTTGCAGGATTATAGAGGCACTGCAAGGGGAAAAAAAAAACAGTCTGGCAACAGGTAGCTGATGCAAAAATGTCTACAAAACTCTACGCACACAACACTTGTGAACTGTTTGCATGCAAGTGTTTCCGTGGTTTGTTAATCCATTCAGTGGTAATCGGAAATGCATGACAAGACTTCTCGCCTAATTCATTTGTTCTGCTCCTCTGTTCCCTCCAACGCTCCCACTTACTCTTCTGTCTGATTTCCTGCTCCCTCTCATACTTCGTCCTTTCCCTCTCGGAGCGTTTGCCCTAAAACCACAGTTGTGTCTGTCTTTCAGGTGTACTATCAGGAATGTGAAATGTTTGGCCTCGTAGTGAAGATGCTGATTGCGAAGGATCCTTCCCTGGAGCACGCCATCCAGTCCTCGCTGCAGGAGAACCTCAGGGACATTGGCAAACGCTGTGTAGAGGCCATGGAGAAATTCATCGACGACTACGACTCCAGGGAGCTGTCGCATTAATCAGGCGCACGGTCCCGCCTGTCTTCTAAGCATTTTTTTTTCACTTCTTGGTTAGACTTTGATTGAACCTTGCTTTTGTGTTTTCCCTCGTTGTGATAATCTTGTATATTCATGCCTGCTGCCTGGACCAAATCTTCTCTGTGCTCAGGCTAATGCTGAACACTGAGCATCACTGGTGAAGAATGAAAAGGAAATTTTGAATATTTTATATTGTTTCTAATTTTTAAAAAGATGTGATGACAACAAAAATGAATACACTGGTTGTATTGCTTTAAATGTTCTTATGAAGACCTCCGAAATGTATAGTATTTTGATGTTTGCAATAATTAAACATTGTTTACAACACCATGTGGTTCACAGTGTTTTCCAGCTTTTCAGATGAACTCAAATCATTCCAGATAATATGTTAAAGGGTCAGTGGGTGACTGGGCCACTTAATGTTGTTTACGTATTTGAACAGTGGGAAAGAGTGGGATGTATGTGAAAAACCAAAACACTGAGAGTTGATGTGATTATCTTGAAACAACAGTGCATGTCAGAGTCTGCGATATGCTACATGGTAGATGGCCTCTCGTCGTTGATCAGTTGGATGTGGGAGAAATGTCAGGTGTAAAGACTGGAAGCATGAAAAGGGCTAAATCATTATCACCAGATAATTACGTTGGAGCATCCGTGGCAAGGCTTAAGGTGTCCCTGATCAGCAGTGGTGTATTCCTACTGACAGGGGTCTGAAGAGGGTCAAACCACAAACCAAAAACAGGGTGTTGGGAATGTGCTTGAACAAAGTCTGATTCATTCCAGTTAGAACCTTAAGGATCTGCTGCTCAGGTTCTGGTGCTGAATACCACAGAGCACCGTTGGGGTCACCCCCTGGTTAGTCCAGTTTACTCATGAGATTTTCATAATCACCCCGTGGAACCAACTGTATAATTTATTCCGTGGCTCGAAAAGCAGTTTTGTAAAGCCTGCAAAAGTAACACCAGTCATCATCCAGCTGCTTTTAGGGAAATATGTTCATTGTTTCTGTAGCTTGGGCCACAACAGGTACCAAACGTTGGGAAATCTTCTGCTGCTTCTATTTTAAGCTGTTTGTCCAGTTTGAGTGTGGAGTACAGTTTAGATTATAAAAATAACAGTGTTTATGTTAAAAAAATTATCAGATGATACAAATGTCTTCCTTTTATTGATGTACTGATCCTGGAAAAAGTCCAGTAATGTCAGGTTCAAGTCTAATAACATGAAAGTGCTGTAGCCCAAATCCATGTGCATCACGACAAAATGTAATCTATTAGTCACAGTGTGCCAATACATCATGAAAGGCAAAGTGCGACTTTACAAAGCGACTGACAAACATCACAAAAAGAAAGCATGTTTTTTTTTTTTTAAAGATTTAATTACATAATATATTTTGATCATTAGCATGGCTGTAGGGATGGTTATGTGAGTAATGTGACAATCCATCACCTTTGTCCAAACTGAAATAAGTCAACAACTTACGGCATAAAAATTTGGCACAAATATCCACCATTCTGAGAAAACGTGTCCTAACACCTGTGGTTATCCCCTTGCCATTTCTTCTAGATTTCTCTCCAGGTCAATTTGTGTTTAGTGCTTTTTTTTTATTTTCTTCTGCACCTGTGAAGAGCTCATTTACTGAATTGTGCGACACAAGACCTTCCTCATAGCACATGCCTTGTCGTGGTGTGAGAAGCACAAGTGTACTGATCAAATTAAAACCTGCACCTGCATTCCATTTAGCCGTGCCGCTTTCAGGCGCATGCTACTGTGCTGGAGGACACCTGACGGAACATTTCTGTCACCTGTGCTTTTCTTGCCGTGTGTCATCATAATCTCTTACATGCAGAGCAAATGTGACTTCTTTTGAGTTTATTTTTTCAGTCGCTCTTCCAGTGTGAACATATTTAAAAACCTTGCTTAGAAACAGCTCAGTCAGAGGTCAGGCTCAACCAACCACAGAACTGAATGCAGCTAATAGATACCACTTCCCCGTTGTTCATTGAAGTACACTTTATTTTCAGTATGAGACAACAACAACAAATCAACATGCAAGCCTCCCTATCTCTACATCATGTTATACAAATAATGATTCTTTAGTTACAAAATATATAAATATTTAAGACCATATTTACAGAACATTTACATTACTACATCCATTATTAAAGTTTATTACTATATATACATTTAGCAGGTATTATTCTTTAATATTGTTATAATTATTATTTGCATTATTATTATTATTGTCAGCATTATCATTATTATTATTTTTATTATTATTATTCTTAATCATCTATAGGTAACTCTCAAAAAACAAAGCATGTTGCAGAAGAGAAAACGGGACCATACCTGACGTTACTGTGCCTGAATGGTCAAGGAGCAGAGGCTGTCCGGCGCTCTGTCCTTGGTAAAGCATGGAGAGCTGGCTATGTAGAGCACAAGGTTCAACAGACTATTTGTACAAGGTGATAACAGGGCTAGCGAGCCAACACTATATTCCAGCAGCATTTGGATTCCACTGAGGTAAACAATGACATAGCTTGGAATCTAGCACGTAGCTTTCACTATCCCAACACAATTTCTGGTTTGTCCACATAGAATAAGTTAACTGCCCAGGGCTTGGATCACTGAGCTGCGACGTGAACAGTCAGATCACTGCAGTTTGACCAGTTTTTACTTTCCTTCTCAAACTGTAAAGGAATTGTTCGATCCCTCCGTAACATGGATACACGCACAGACACGCACATACGTCATGTTATTTACCTTGACCACAGTATATTTAGCAGTCAAATTCATCAGTGCTTCCTATTACCATCAGCGGAGTTGATCTCCATCACTGTAAACATTCCTGTTGTGTAAGCCAGCTGAGCTTCCTCTTATGATTAGATCATTCTGTGTAGGTGTACACAAACACTACCCGGTGGAGAGTTGTGTAAGCTCACAAGCACAAAAAATAGGCAGTTTTTTTTTTTTTCTTTTCAACCCCACCACGCACACACACACAAACACACACACATGCACAAACTCTCTTTTCACTCTTGCACTCATCTGTCTCACTCTCACCTTCCCACTCCTTCTGTTCCTCCTCTCTGCTGCTTTAACCGTCTCCTTACCTTTCTCTCTCATCTCTTTCACTCTCCTGCTCATCCCTCCCCATCTCCTTGCTCTATATCTAGGAAATTATGCAGTTTTTGCTCTTCCTCCTCTGGCGGGTGTGCAGCTGGCCATGAATCGGTCCGTGCAGAGGTCCATGATGGCCGCCCATCCCAGAGGGGCTGTAGCGATGACGTAGCTCCTCGTTGTTGATGTAGCACAGCTGCACAGGCCGAGGGATCGGTTCACCCAGAAAATAACCCTCATCTCCCTCAGATTCGGAAGAGGAGGAGCAGCTGGAGCACCAGGGGTCCGCAGCCTCCATGTATCCGTCGCCCCAGCATGGCCCACCCAGTCCCACAGGCTGCCAGCCAGCATTCTGCAAGGTAAGATCAGAAGTGGTGCGGGGGCAGGGCCTATGGGGCTGTTGCCTGCATCCGCCCGGCTCCAAACCGAATAACTCCCGAGCAGCATGACCGGAAGGGAAGCGATCGTAATCCTCCTGAACGCGGCGGTAGGGTAGCTCCACCATTTGAGTGGGCCGATCTGCCACCAGGTGCAAGGCGTTGTCGGAGCGAGAACGGCGAGAGCGTTTGTGGTGGCGGCCACTGCGGTGCTGCCCACTACCGTTGTTCCCACGATGGTGTTTGCGGCGTCTTGGTTGCGGCTGCTGCTGTTGCTGCTGCTGGGACACAGATTCCTGCGCACTTATACGTCGGCGGGGCATTCTGTCGCTCATGGGAGCCATCCGCAGGTTTCCGCTGCTGCCCATCACCCCGACACGACCTTTGCCATCGAAGCCTAGTGGCTGAGGGCCATCCCAGTACTGCAGTGGGTACCCGACTCTCAGTGGAGCGTACATGTTGTTGTTGTTGTAGGGGCGAGAGGAGGACAGCGACTCTGTGCTGTGGAACTGGACTGAGGAGCTGAGGGTGCCCATGTTGCTCTTTTCAGACACATTTACGCCTGAGTCCTTACTCAGGTCAGGCATGGAGAACCTTGACAGATGCTCCTGACGCTTGCTGACTCCATCCAAAGAGTTACCTGCTAAAAACCATAAATAAAATATCAAGTTTTAATATAATTTACCTTCATATCATGTTATATCACATGGTATTATGTATACTACTGTACCTGTAGCATTGGACATAGTAAGGGAGTCCATTGATCCTCGAGGGGTCTGCTCAAGAGGAGTGAGGGGCTCATTGAAGCTCATGGCATTGATAGGGTTCCTCCTGGTAAGTGGGGGCCTGCCGTCTCTCTGGAATCCATGCAGACTGATGCTCCTCTTGTCAGAGAACCCCTGGTTCTGGCTAGACATCTCATTGAAGCTCATCTGGGTGCGCAGCTTGTTGGGTCTGAACTCATCCTGGCTGTGCTGAATCCAGTTTTCATTAAAGGAGTGGCCTCTCATGGCAGACATAGGGGTCCTCTTGGCATTACCTTGTTCCTTCCCCCAGGAATCAGGCCTCTTTCCTTGGTTGGCAGGAGTCTGGGCTGGTGGATGAGCATTTGCGTTTGGATTGTAGCCCTGTCTGGCATTACACTGGCCCAGCAGATGAATAGGTGTAGGGGAGGGGGAGGGATCCCGCTGGGGGCCCTCATAGGAAGCAGGGATGAAGGGGTCATCCCGGCTCATCCACACCTGGTTAAGGCTTGGGGCACGACTTGGAGTGCGGCTAGGCGTGCGGTTAGGTGTCCTGCTTGGAGTCTGGCTAGATGAGAGGCTTAAACGGTCCATCTGAACAGACAGGGGATCGATTTCAGCAGACAGACGGTCAGGCATTGGTGGAGGAGCTGACTGGCGGGTCTCGGAACTCCGACGCTCCTGCTCAGCATTCCTGCGCTCCTTTTTCCCAACCTTGGTGCTGTGGCGAGACTCACGGGAACGAGCACTTTGGAAGGCAGAGTCTGAGGAGTCAGACTCTTCTGGATCCTGCTGGTTCAAATAAAGCAGATTTTTACAATTATTTAACAGTGAAAAGGTAAAAATATTGAATAATCCATAAACACACACCTAAATGCATATATCTATTTTTTTCCCCCCATTTTTTATTTTTTATTTTTTAGTTCCCTTACCTGTCCGGCACTGCAGGATCGTGAGCAGAAGATCTGCCCCTGCTTTGGCAGGAAGGGGCGGCCCAGCAGAGAGCGCTTGCAACGGGCACAGCAAAAACATTCCTCAGTTGCGTGCCAGTGCTGCCCATCATATGTCATCTGGCCTTGGTCAATACCTTTGGTTTAGATGGGAGACAATACATTTTACCATATAACAACAAAAATTAGGGTTTTAGAAAACACACAGGAGTTGCACTGTATACAATTACAGGGGGTTGTTACTCTTACGCTATTAAACAGTCATGGAGTATTAAAATCTTGTACAAACAGAGTCCTTTTTCTTCTGCATTCAAACATTTGTGATTCTGTGCCTTTACATGATCACTGGAGTTGTAAGGTAGCACGAATATATTTCACCAGCCCTGCTCCCCCGCTAGAGGAAGTAATCATCTTTCACAGCTCCCATCTGGATACAACATGGAAGCAGCCTCTGAAACACACTCTTTCACTGTTACTGGAGCTTGTGATGATAATAACCATCCACATCTCGCTGCACTGGATCCGCCTCTCCACAGCTGTGGCACACAAGCCTCACAGAGCTGATAACACCCACACTTACAATAAATGGCTGTTAGAGGTTCTCGATGATGCTAGTGTAAGGAAAAATGTCTGTGTTTCAGGAACAGTTCATATATGTTGCAGGACTTTAGGCAACAATAAAAAAATATGCAGGAAACATGTACCTATGTGTTCTCCACACGCATCACAGTATTCTGCATAAAGAGACTCAAAGCAGTTGCAGCAGTGTGGCCGTCCATCCTTCATTATGTAGCGCTGCCCACCGAGGGTGGTCTCACATTCATAGCAGCAGAAGTGCTTCATGTGCCAGTGTCTGCCCTCGGCCTCGGTGCATTCATCAGCAAAGATGATCTGCATGATTCAGACATTACAGTTATCAACACATTAATTGGCTTGAATTGAATGACATTCATAAGGGGATATTTAAAAAAAAAAAAGATGCTTTTAAACTTGTACAAGTGGTTGCAACATTGACTTTTTTTCAGACTCTTTATTTTGAAGATTTTTTCACACGCAGATCTGACACAACAATGTCATCTAGCTATTTAGTCCGCATAACTGATTTAACAGTGAAGATGTCAACTAAGCTAACAATACAAGGACTTTAATTACCCTCCCACCCCCACTCAAGCAACATTGACTTTTAATGTTGCTGAAGAAAGAGAATTTTGAGTAGTGTATAAGTTTGGGGTCATTTTGGTCTCCATTCTTCGGTCATTAGTGATTTTCATAATATTTTTGTTACCATTGACACAACCGATATTTAACTTTGACCCATTAAATTCAACAACTTGCAGCCCTTTGACACATGTAATACATGATATTATGATATACACTTTCCCAGTATGATCGAACTGGAATAATTAGAAACCAGTTATTATTAGAGGCTTGAAGAGGTAAAACTACAGTGTTTCACTAAAATAAAACTGGTGTTAAAGCTGTCTGTCTTTTAATGGTCTTTTTTCTACTTGTTTTTTCTGTTAATCATTTTATGACACCTAAAATTTGTAAAATAGCTCCTGTTTTTTCATACATAATTAAGAAAAAACATATCAGGTTTCAAATTAAATAGCACTGATAATCTAGATGTCCTTTGTTGCTGTTTTTATTTCTTACATTCACATTGGATGCATACTTACACCATACTTATACTGAATTCAAATAGATCCACAATTATTGTTATCATCAAGAAAGGTCTCTTTCTAACTTTTAATTTCACCACATTGCTTTAATTTTGGTGTTTTTTTAAAAAAATTAGCCTGTGATATTGGGTTTATGTCTATGCGCTAATGAAAATGAACCTTTTTTATCAAATAAAAGCACTGGACCGCAATATTTCTCCATACTTTAGGTAAACAGATTTTCTGAACTTTAATAGTAATTATTACTGTTATCTCAGGCCTGCTTTCAACAAATTACAATTTGAAAACAAGCAGGCTTTCAGCGACATGGCAGGAATACTGAGACTGAGACCAGTTTCAACTTCATCCAAGTCTGTGAGTTCTAAAGCACAGAGCCCCTTCCAACCCTGAAGGGCTCCAAGCCAGAAAGTCGCACCTCATCACAGGCACAGCAGCGGGGTTTCAGCCTCTCGGCATGGTGCCGGCCACAGAAGATCTTGCCATCCTGGTGGAAGTATATGAGATCCACCAACAGCTCCTCACATGTGCTGCAGACAAAGCAATGAGGGTGCCAGCATTTTCCATGACCTGCCCTCGCAGCAAAAACTACAATGTCCCCTCCGTTTATTTGACCACCACACTGTGGGAGAGGAAAGGAAAAAAGAAAAAGAAGAGCAGAGGAATCAAATAGAGATGGGAGAAAAGGCAGGAAAAAGACAGATACAAATTGTAAGACATGGAGAGGAAAGGCGAGAAGATGGCCCTTATGAAAACTGAAGTGTTTCTGTAAAGAACCCCTTCACTTGTTTGGTTTGTCTTTGATATTCGTAAAAAGTAAGGCTCTAGATCAAAACGAGGAGCTGTTAGCTGTTACCTTATCACAGATGGCCCCATTGATGGTGAGAGGGAAAGGACGGACGTTTCCTCTGCCCAGGTTGTCCTTCTTCCGTTGGTTGCTAAAGAGCTTAAGCTCTCGTTTCTCTTCCTCGTCCAGCGCATTACAATAACGCACCTGAAACAAAGATGCTCATCATCAGGGATCATCACAACAACTGGAATACTTCCTGACAACCAGAAATCAAAAATATTCATATACATATTCATATACAAATGTGCTGTGCTGTTGAGAATATTTTACCTCATTGTCATGTGGTGGCAACTGGTGAAGCAGCTGTTTGATGCGATATTTCTCTCCAGGGCTGTTAATATAGGGAACCTTCTCTTCCGGTAAGGAGTTATAATATTGATGCACCTGGAAGAAAATCAAACATGTGGTTCTGATGCTGCCTTAGAGTATTCAAACCAATGTCAAACCTGCATAAATGCACTGACAGATTTTTATCACCATATTATATGATACATGAGTCTTCGCTAACCACAAGACAAATATGCTCCAATATGTTTGTTGCAAATCTTGCGAGCCACCTGTTTGGTGCTGGGCAGGTAGTGTTGAGCAGGTTGTTACTGAAAACAGCTGCCTGCTGCTGCTGGAATCGACGCTGATGAGAGTGAACCAAAACAGTGAAGCTGCTGGACTGAGAAAGAACCGAGAGCTGGCGGGAAGTGCAGAGTGATAACTCTCTGTGGGTTTGGCAGTGCGCTGGTATTCAAAGAAAGTGCATCAGCCCTTGAAATTGTAATTTGGGTCAGAATAACCTGAGTGTACTGCAAAATTTCTTATAGATTGCATCAGATAAGATGGACATGAGTAGGTGTTGATGTAGAATTGCATGAGCTGTTACTGTCAGCTATGTGAGCTCGCTCTGCAAGAGAAAAAGCCTTTCCTTGGTTGTGTCAGGATGGTACCTGGTGAACATCTCACTTTGTTTTCCATTTAAAATGATAAACTGAAGTAAATTAAAGGGGTTCTGGGTGCCCCAGGAGCTCAACTGGGTAAGATGGCAAACCCATATACAGGGGCTATAGTCCCTGACGCAGTGGTTCGATTGCCGCCCAAGGCCATTTGCTGCAGGTCTTTGCCCATTCTTCTCCCCTTTCCTGTCTCTCTCCACTGACCTGCTAATAAAGGCAAAAAGCCTGTAAAAGAAAATATATATTTTTTTCTAAATTAAAAAAAAAATTAAAGGGGTTCTCATAACATTTCAGACATAAATGCCAGGTTTGCATTCTGGAATATTTTGAGAGCACTTGTGATAGACTAGTTAGCTTTGTCTTAATTACCAACCGCAACACGTATCTAGTTTAGAATTCTATTTATAATGTTCATGATGACAGTATCAGTGCAATAAAAGCTTAGATGGGAACACCAGTGCACATGTAATACCTTCCACAAAGAAGTGGTCATGTGATCCATTAATATAAAGACATCAATTACAGCAGCATGAGATATAATGTCAATCGGACTTAGACAGTGGTATATGAGTCATTATGTGTCAATTAAGTTGAGTTAAAGGTTGGCTAGTTTACATAATCTACCTTATTTCATTAATTTCCGGTAACAAACCCATCCAAATGAAGCTGAAATGACTTTCAAATGAATTCATCACGGTCTTCATGCCAATAGAATTAGTTTTTGTCTTTCCTTCTATCATCACTGCCCTTGGAAGTCAGTGTCTGGAATTAAAAGTGTGCGGCACAATGAGCTCTGTGCTGCTGCTGCTGCTGCAGACACAACCTTGAACAGCATCAGGTACTTTACATTTTCAACAGCTAATATTCAGATTGCTTAAAGGAAATCTCCTACACTTGCACTGCAATTGGAATTCATGATGCAGTAGCACTTGGTGTCCACGGCCTAAACCTCGTTTGGATTTATATGTTGGGTGAAACAGAGAAAACCTTGATTGGCATTTGAGAAGTAAACACTCAAACGGATGGAAGCCAATCTCATCAGTCTTGTCTCTGATTTTCAGCCTTTGACACAAAGTGGTCTAGTTTTCAGCGCAGTGTAAAGATCTATTTTGCTCAAGTTTCGCTGATTCTATTTACATAATCAGTGGGGTGGAGAGCCAGAGAGAGAGAAAATGCATTTCTGAGTGCTGCCCCTCTCACACCCACTTATTTTATTCTACGCTGTGCAGGGTGACATTGACCGTGTCGAGGTCACTTAAGGTAAGTAGCTCTTCTCCAAAATCTGCCCCCTCAGATGAGTTTGTAAGCATTAAAGGACAGTTCCAAACGGAAGGTAATTATTAACTATCATAGAAGAGAACCATCCAGTGTTCACGTCTGTATTTTGTTTTGTAGATTTTATTCAGAAAATAACTATTAATTAAAACCAGTTACTGAAGGAATGCCGCTTCAATTTATATCAATCACCTTTTTGATTAATCTATTCATTACTTAATGGCTGCAGTGTTTGGAGTCTTTATCTTGTCAATTTCTTTACTCTGAAGCTTTTAAACAACTTCATTAGCAACCAGAGCATATCATTGTTGACAATATCAAATGATAAAGATGCCAAATATCCCTTTATGTGTTGCATTGCTGCTGACAAGTTGGTCAGAAATGACCAGTGTGTGGACAGTTGGGAACATTTTGTCAGAAATTGGGAGATAGATCATTGCAACAAGCCAATTCTGACACAACTGGACCTTATTGAGTCAATGCAGTCAAAACTGGGGATCTCGAAGTCTGACAGCTCGATGAACTACACTACATGAAATGATCTTTTTTTTTTTAGAATTCAAGTTTCTTTAATAACATTGTACAGAGAAAAACTAGAAGTGACAGGCTTAAAAATCATTACATTCAAGTGCATTACAAAAGAAACAGGCAGCTACAATTGCCGGCACCTCCTGTTGGATGACAGAGGCTGCAGCCTCTTTCAGCATCCTGTCAAGATGGCTGACTTGAGAAAATGACTGTTATCAGCCCATCCTGTCATCTGTTAACAGAGCCCTAGGAGGCCTGTTGCATTAGAGTGCTTCTCTTACTAAATAAAGACAGAAGTGTTTATACCCAATATAGTTGAACACAACCGTGTTTATCTTGTGTCAGAGCTGACAAAAACAACACGCTATAAAAATAAGAAAGAGGAAATATCTTCCTCTAGATTTGCATAACTGATTACATTAGCTTGGCCATGCATGCAATTAAAAGGCATTTAAACTGCAAATGAGTCCAGACAGGGAATTGTGAAACCTGCACACATACACACATTGCCACACATTGTCAATTAGATTCATCCAAACATTCACTGACTCAAATTACTTCCATTCCCGTGGGTCTAAATTTGCACAGACACACTCAAATACAGGACAAAGTGAGGCTTAGTGTAACAAAAGCATCATTAAATGGAAAATGACAACATGAAGTATCACTATATTTTATTCCTACAAATAAATAATCATGTAGCTGATGGTGATCGGGGGAGCTGCTTTTTGTCTGAGTGTGAAATCATATAAATATAACCCTGTACATAAAGACATACATACAAAACTTTTATTTATTTATTTTAACCTGTGTAACAGAGCGATTCAGACGTTTTATCAATTTATTCACATCTGTTCTTCAGACCGTGCAATCAGTGTGTGGTTTCTTTTCGTGATTTTAGCTGTCATTCTGTCTTGCTTTGGTTCCTACACAGTGGCAGCTTTACAACTGACACATGAAAAATGTCCTTACAAATGATCTTCCGTGAAATGTCTGACATGAGAAGTCTCAGATTTCTTTGTCATCCCTGCCCTTCCCTGCTCCTCACTCAGACCTGAACAAACTGAACCACCATGAAGGGAGATTTTAAACAGTGATGATCCATTGTCTTGCTTTTTAGATCTGCGAATTTTCTGTCTCTGGATTATTAGGAAAATGTCACAGATATTTTATTATCCGAATAATTAAACTCTTCTGACCGATTTGGTCCAATTTGACATGGTCTGGCTGTGCCAGACAAAAACAAACAATAGGTAATGAAGCATTTAGGAGTGTTGGGAAATGGGTATCAAGTGTAAATTGAAAATCTGTGACTGTGTGTACCTGCTCAGGACTGAGGCCAGGAGGAACCCAAGCATATTCCTCCAGTGCACAGCCAGAGTCATCATCAGAGGTGGAGTTCCTCTGGAAGTCGTACATCAGCTTGGTGATGGTCTTCTCCATCTCCAGAGACATGGCTGTCACAACATGCTCCTCTACACAATCCGCTTCAGTGGACACAGGTATTCCTGTTGAGGGAACAGAAGGGAGTGAAAAAGTGTGATAAGTTTCAGTTCATCTTTCTAACTAATACTCCTGGCTGTATGTGGGCAGGTTTAGATCCTTTGGTGGTAAACATTTGATGCACCGTGATGAAAGATACTTTACTGTGTCTCTCTCATGTATTCACAGAAAAATGAACACAGCAGTCGTCCAGAGTGACAAAATATTTGCATCAGATTTCACAGCAATTCAGCCAATACATGAGGCATTTCTCATGAAAACACAAACGTCACCCAGTGAGCTCCAACCTGGATTTCTGTGTGATGATAAACAGTGTGAACGCCTCAGACCTCTTGTCGCCTTCCTTTCAACCAGCTGAAATGTGGTTACAACATCAGCGAGTCACAAAATGCAAATTTGTTTAACCATTTGTACAGTTTTAGGTTGAAAGAGAGACGCTACTGATTAGTGTGAAGGAATTTCTTCAAAATCATATTGCACTGGCAGGCAAAGTGTGGCCTAGTTTCAACACAAAAATGTCATAAATATGGAATTATATTGGCTGTGTGCTGCCAACAAGAGGTTTCCAGGGCATCATAAAGGCAGCATATCTATACATTAAATAAGAAATTCTTATTGCTGTAGCATTCAGGCACACATAGTTAGGGGTTGCAGCTTTGGCTACTGTGAAGGCAGAACGTGCCCTTTGACCTAAACTGAATATATCAGTAACCTATAGCTCTTCTCTGAAACAGCCAGGTAGCTCAATAGCTTTGGATATTGAGTATCAATACCAAGAACACAGGTATGATGTCTGCTTCAATCATAGCTTTTCTTATGGCTCCCCTTTGTTTGATCTTTTTTGTTGTTGTTGTCGGTCAGCTCTAATATTCAATAAGCTACTATTTGCACATTATTGGATAAAAATGATCACTATTGTCGCTCATCTTAGTTAAACAATGTCTTAATGGGAACATTCAATTAATATTTTCCAAAATCTTTCACTTTTGAAACTCGTTCTTTTGACTCGTGACCGTAGTCGTTTTTTTAAAAAACATCGTTTATGCAGAAAAATGGGAAAGGGCTGAGTCAGGATATCACCAAAGTCAATAGAATAAACTGTCTGGGGATGCCTGCACCAAATTTTATGCACATCTGTCTTATAGATGTGATTGAGATATTTTACAAGATGAGTGAAAAATTACAACTGCTGGTGGCGCTAGAGGTAAAGTCAGGAGACCATCAAAATCAATAGGATTCTCCCTCTGCGGATCAAGAATGTCAGTGCAAGATTTCATGGCAATCCATTGAATAATTTCCATGACAGGTTGACATCAATAAAATGTATTCACAGTACTATATATGTATATATAAATCTGCACAATATCACACTAGCAAATGAGTCCCAGGACCCCGAGAACATCGGTTACCATCATCATTCACTGCTTCACTCCCATGTATAGATTAGAGATCAATTTTCTTCTCCTCCTCTTTCTTTCTGTCAGAGAGGAGAACAGCTGCACACATTACTGACACATGAATAATTAACAGGAGTAGGTATCGCCTCCACCACCAAAGTATGAAAATGAAATGCAAGTCATTTTGCAGACAACAAGAATATCTAGTGAGCCAGCAATGAGCACCCGACCGACTTGTGTTTACATCTCACTTGTTGTTATTTTAATAGCGGATGAGTGGAGAGATATTAGAATCAATTATTATAAATTGAAGGAAACAATCGCGGTTTCTAGCAATGTCAGCACCTCGTATGAGTTCCACAGTGATTATGCCACTCGAGGTTGTTGTGATGTAATCGGAGAGTGCACTCTGACCAATGTGGACGAGCCGGTGGAGAAAATGCGGTAGCAGATGAGGCGTTTGTTCCGTGTCTGTCAGTCATTTATCAAGGTCGTAACGGTTCACTGACTAAAACAACGCTGGATGATGGTCGGTGAGAAAGCGTGAACAGGCCCTGACATTTGTGATTCAAAAAATGATTTCTCTCCCAAACTATGAGACAGGTCCTCTCTGGCAGTTTCAGACAGCAACACTATTTTCCACAGATTAGAAATCACAGAAAAACAGAGCTTAAGCAGCGGCCAAGGAACAGCAGACATTTCCACAGACTGAGCCAGTGAGTCAGCCTCCATCCAAGCAGAGCTGAGTACTGTTTATCTCTCTAAGATGGGTGCTGCTGATTTCTTTGTGAGGCGAGATCGCAGGTATGTAACCTTGAGCCTCTAGCCTGGCCTGAGGCTGTTCGTCATTAGAGTGTGGAGGCTGAGTGAGAGTGGGCCTGCTGGGTAACCTGCAGCCTGTTGCGCCACTTAGGCATCACTTCAAAGATGACTTCGGCTGGCAAAATGAAATCAGATCAACAACAATTTTAACTATCGTCTCGTGAATATAAATTTCACTTTACCACCATCTATTTCGCAGGGAAGCTGGAATTTGCTTTGTGTAGCTGCTGCATGGCTTTTATGGTGCCAAAATCTCCTTGATACTTTTAATTTCAGTATTAAAAACATATATACATTTTTTTTCTTCTAAGAGTCAAAATATTGATATAAAGACTGCGTCGTTATTGTCAAAAGCTAGATGAGAACACTGATACTAGTCGCATCCACACGCGAAATATGAATCTACAGCAAGCAGCTACTTAGCTTAGCTTTTAGTAAAGAATGGAAATGGGGTGGAACAACTAGTATAGAGGTTCGGTCCCAAGATAAATTTGGCCAGTTGCTTGGAGTTTTGCCATTGCTGTGAAAACAGTAGGAGTTCAGAAATTCAAAATGGCTGGCCAAGAAATAGTCCTGCACCAAAGCGACACAAAAGCAAATAAATTTCCCAAAATGTTGAAATACTTACTTAACTTTAGATTCTTATTGCCAACTATGGAGTTCTTTCTCTTCTTCTAAGCTATATCATTGCATCACCAGTATGGACATCTGTAAGACGGCATACCTGTATCAATATGCTGATTGTTTCCATAATTTTGCGATTTCCGTGATGCTTCCAAACACAAACATACTGTATGTCACAGCTGAAACACAGCGGCGATGGTAAATATGTGTTTGAAAAAGTGCTGAACACCTCTACCTGACTCATATCTGACTTTTCAGTTGAAATATCTCTTAGGTTTAGCCTAGCTTAGCATAAAAACTAAAAGCAAAGCTTTATCTAAGTAGGACTTAGATAAGTAAGACTTCCAGCAGCTCTTTTATTACATTTTAATAGACTGTGTCCCATAAACTAACAAGCCAGCCAAAGATGACACAAAAATAAACATTGGAAGATGTAGGAGAGTGTACAAAGTTGGTGCACCGTTCACTGTGACAGGATTTTTAAAAGGTCAGTTCTGTTCCTTGGACCAGCTTGCCTCCAATTTGTAAAGGTGAACTGCTTGTGAAGCGACATGGTCTTGTTTTCTGTTTGCAAGTGTTAAATACACAAGATGTAATGCGTACAAATGGCATCACTTGTTGGATATCTCATTGAATGTGCTTTTGACTATGGAGATGATCTAACTAAGATAGATGATGCGTCCCATAATGTCAGAGGATTCCTTTATAGAAATAAAGTTCACCAGTTGAAGGTCTGTGGCCAAAGCATCCCATTATTAGAAATTCTTTTTATGGAAGACATTTTGAGTTGTCATAGCAGGAAAACTGCAGGTGTAACGAATAACATTAGTGATGGCTGAAGTCATGGTACTGTGCATGCTGACTCTGACATGACTTACATCTGCTATGATAAGTCAGAATGTCTGCTGTGTAATGTTATACCGAGTATATGAATAAAACTATAATAAAACTCTAACAACAGAGTAACCAAGTGGTTTTAATCTAAACACTGTTTATCTTCTTCTGACTTAGTACAGCTCTGTGTTAGTAAAACCATTGAGAAGCATTTAGAATTCATTTTGCACACACATTTTTAGATTGAGGGGACGCCAGCGTCACTGTTTGCACCAGCGCTTCGATTAATGGTCCCTTCACACCCACTTATTAAGATGTGCTGTAAGTCTCTACTGTGCATTGTTAAACAAAGACACAGCTTTAGTGTCCAACAGTTTCAAAGCAACGTGTCGTCTTTACACCCTAACTTTTGACTGAATGCACATTCAGCTGGTACAGAAGGCTGCTGATGAGTGTGTGACTTTTTGACGTAATACACACTCACCAGGCCGACTGGTTAGTCATAGCACACTCCTCTGTTCTTCCCCAGCAACACAAACAGAGAGGAGAGACAAGTTGTGAAGTTCTGCTTCCTGGAGGAGTCTACTTTTGGGTTATTCATTTTTTCGGAAAAGGGAGAGAAGCAAAAATACACTTTTGAGAGCTTATTATTTAGTAATTTTCTATATTATTGTAATTTGTTTGCCCTCCTGGATGTAAAGCCTTGTTTATTTTGCTCACATTAACATGCTTTGGTCAATATTCCTAGAATTTAACAGCTGATGGTTGATTTTGCCGATTGTTCTGTTTAATAAGAAATTGTCTGTTACAATTATTGTTTTCTCTTTAGTGCAATCTTCAATTTGAACCTATTTTGGGGGGGAGGGAGAGTTTATACTCAAGAAATATTCCATTAATGTTAATTGTTTAATGTTTAAATGTTTCCACAGCAATTTTTCAATAAATACCATTTAGGAAAGACTGGAGACACAACTTTAATGACATCTATTAAGTCATTTAATTTAATGCCATTAAGCGTATTTCTTTGGCAGAATGCATGATGTTGAACAAAGAATTAAGATACTTATTGTGAAGCTCACTAAAGGTATATTCAGTGCTGGCTTTTGGGTTTTTTATGAGTGCATCTGTGAAAGGATCCCTGTCTTCTAATGAACAATGTGTAAAGGTCTGCAGCACAAATGGGCAACTCTGTGCCATTCAAGATCAAGAGACTGTGCAACTAATCAATACACTTTCAACCAGACAGAAAGAACTAATCAGTAAAATTACCTGATG